ACCACTATCTTCGTTAGTAATAGCCTTGTACTTTTTCCCTTGACAGGAGGACGACATAGTAACACGTGCTAACACTACCATGCAGACCTTACTTGAAAACATACACAACACTGAAGTAAAGAGGAATCGAGATCGTGTGGCTGAGATTAACAACCTGGTAGATCACTTTAGAGATGAAGCAGAAAGCTACGAGATGAGTGGACCTATCTAATACAATGTCAGTTACTATCATACACGTATTAAATTTCGAAATTAAGTGCCTTGTCACTTTCGGCCCCAGTCATTCTTACTGCGCTTGCACGACAAAAGTCATTTGTCAATTGTCAGTAAGGATGACAAGGTTCTGTGGATGAGTGACACCAGCTGCATCTGAAGCCCCAGCCCCCTCCCCCCCATATAAAACATACCTTCCATAAAGTACCTTTTTTGACAACTGAAATCTAAACATGGCTGGGATCCAATTAAAGATGTGACCGGGCTAAAGGTTGCTATGATGTACATAAATGTAATGTGTTTTCAACATTTCAATGTACTATGCTGTTATCTGATTTACCATAACAGCTTTGTTTTATATCATAAATGCATTGTGCAATGACTTAAAGATCAAATCAATATTATTGCTTTGACGGAGTTCACTTCGACGAAATGGTTAGCATTTTTGTTGGTTATGTTACAACAACATTCAAATCGATTTTTCTTGTTACCGTACTTGATGTTAGTTGTTCTGAAGTAACCTTATATACGAGGGCAGGGGTCTTGATGGTGTGTGGTTTCATAAGAAGTCTTACTGTTCTGGCGAGGAATACTGTTTTTCGCTTTGAACGATATCCCCGACACGAAGGGAAAAATATTGCTATGGCAGGTTGATTCTTCTCGCATTCTTAGCAACTTTGGCTGCATGTTAATTGCGCGCGATGTTGTCAGCAAAATTGGACCACTTATCCYATCAATAGCATTGACAATATGCAGKARTAAGTTTGATTGTAGAGGCAGAAACACGGAGGAAAACAATTTTCGTCGCGTTCACCATCACATTCTATAGAGTGGACACACTAAAACAACTACACACAAAACCAGTTAGAAACTGTAATTAAAGTTACAGACGCGAGACCTTGTTATAATCCTCTCTTAAAAAATAACCTTGGCTTCCATCTAATGCTATTATATAGAAGGATTAAAATAAGTTCTCATGAATAAGTTGCGTCTTGTACAAGCCGGTAACACGTACGGGCTCAAAGTACTACAACATTTGGTCATGTACATTAATCATTATCCAGGCATAGGTTTTGTCTGGCCTTGTTTAATGACACTGAGAAGACTTAACCTTTTAAAAGTGGCATAAATGATACAAAAGTAAAGTAACATTCTTCGAGGGTCACGTATAATCTAATTATACGACTGGTATTTTGTCAGGAGGTCTTTCATCAAGGCACGTATAAGAGAAAACTGTCAAATTATATCGAACCCTAAGAYAATCTTTGCATGGACTGATCAAAGTCAGGGGTGTTTCGAGGTAATAGATATTACCAGTATTTGATATCCTGCAGTGTTGAATCTATTGAGACCTTTTTAGTTTTGGATACTAATGACTTGACTGCATGCCATCATTGGTCCATAAGTACTTTACTCGGAAAATTGGATTCAGAGTCAAATCGAATGAATACCAAGAGGCATACCCACTATTGTATATATAACTTATATATACTATTGTATATATAACTTCCAGTTATATATACTTTACACTGTAGAAAAACAGCGCATACCACATCTCACTACCTCTCTCATTAGTTTAACTTAGTTCTCCTGGAATACTCGTAAGTAATCTAGCCCCCTCMCCCCGAGGCGTTAAAGAGTTTCTTTACATCGAACTAGAAGACGTGGACAAATAACATGATCRATAACCATTACGATGATAACGACTGGCATATGTGACCTTCTGTAGATAGTATTCCTGGTCTTAACATGATTCGAATTATTTGCATCGTTCCTTCTTTATTGTTCCATTCATTTTATTATTATTTTTTCTTGGGTCGTCACTCGATAAAAAACAACAGGTGTTCCATACRAAAGGATTGGGGGGTTCCCGTTATGCGTAATGGGGGTGACTTTTTGGGTCTAATGTTTGCTCATTTCCGTCCCAGAAAACGACCGAAAAAAATCATTACAAAAATGCTATCATTAGAAACTTCAAGGGGCGAAATTTGTTGTTTTCGTATCATTAAGAAAACGATTCTAATAATTTCGCTAGATATTATTTTATAATATTCACGATAAGCACCCCCCTCTTCACACACCAGATGCAGGAATCGATTTAACAAATAGACATCAGTTTTATATGTGTCCGTTCTCTTATTGACGATGAATTGCGTCATCACATTATCAAAGTAGTGTGGACGCCGAGTGGATCCGCATACTACTTTGACAATGTGATGACGAAATTTATCGTCAATAAGAGGACAGACACATAAAAAACTGATGTCTAATTGTTTTTTGCGATAAMAAAAATGATAAAAACTTCTCATTTTTACTGATCAAAATAACTAACGGAAAGTGCGCACGCTCGTTGACGTCAGCTTTATCTGTCTGTCCTCTWACTGATTTATAAAAAATAACCAATCAGCGCGCGAGAAATTTGCAAGTTACTGTAAAGAAATGTTCATAGAGTCAGTTTTCGAGACCTAAGATAGAATTGCTTGGAACGAAAAGAAAAGATCGACGTAGAGCATCGTCCTTCATTTTGCACAGTTGTGCGGGAACAGAGAAATTCGAAACCACGAAAAAGAACTGAAAAACAATATATACATTGCWCTGCGTGAAACTGGGCTACTCTATTTACGTGAATGGTTATCTCTTTATAAACACATTATATATCTTATGATTATGGTCGATACTGCTGAAACTCAGCGCGCGCGCGCGTTATTTAGACCATTTGATAATTCGGGTGAATTTTTCCTGCGGCATGCAATTCCCATAAATAAAACTATCACTGTTTAATTGTCATCTAGCATAGAGTACAAACACTATAAGTGTATAACATAAATGCCACTAAATACTGCTAAATTATGCTAATCCTATTGTTTTCTATTGTTTAATTAGCACTATTTACTACTAAATAGTGCAAAGTGTTGCACGCTTTTAGTGTGTGTACTCTAAGATAACCCCATTACATTAGAATGGTTTTACCCGTGAAATAGTARCTAGACCAATAGAAGTTAGTAGATCTTAATTCCATTGTTTCAGTTCTCCTGATGCAATGTTCAATTCGGCTTAACTAATTGCAGACAATTAGTAATTAATTAAGTGGTTTATTTTAATTAATCAAAGAAGAGAGCTAGTTGTTTAATGATTTTTTTTCAGTGTTTCCAGTTTATTTTAACGTCTGCGTGAGGGCAAAAGTTTTGTTTTCTTTCAGGAAAAAGCTTTGTTCGCGTCGTTATAAGCATGGATCGAGATGTGTCTCCTGATTGTGGTTCATCACCAGTTTGATATCACTGTTGTGCCRAAGGAAAGGGCGCAGTTTCTTGATAATGAGCTCTTATTGGGTATTTAAATAAGCAGAACAGAAGAATGATTCCCATTGCTGGAAAGAGCATGTTATGATTAGTAAGATTGTGAAGTTTGAAGGAAATAAGTTCAATACTCGCGAAAATATGATTTTTGAAAAGTTTGATTTTATTAGAAAACCTTTGCCTAAGGCAAGAGATGCCTCGGCAACGAATGTTTTCATACAAATTTTCGATCGAAAATTTCGGCCATCTTCGCGAGTTTCAAACATTTCTTTCTTTTAGTCTGACCTTTATCACTTTGGCAATGTTCCATCATTTATTACATTTCTTACCAGTGACTMATAGTCTTGTAGCTGAAGAGGGTCATAAAAAATGAGACAAAGACATTCTTCGTCTGAATTCAAGGAAATAACTGGACAAAGAGCTCAGTAGCTATCCTAAACGTGGATATTTTTTTCTGTTTCGTCCGTCTTAGATTTTGTTTGCAGTCCTCAAAGTCTCACTTAAGTTCCAGTTTCATCCTCCGTCTTCACATATACTCTACGCAGTACTTGCACGAAGATTTTCACACGAGAAGCCTCTCTCTAAAGATAAGTTTTGCTTACATCGAGCTGTCTATTAGAATGGCATTTTGACGACTTGTTGCGACTCGAAAGCCTTGTGCTTTTGCTTTTTATTTTGCATAGCTGAAATAAAGATGCCGTGAAGTGTAGATTCATTCGTGTGCAGGCCATTCAAAAGATACCATGACCCGTCGCATTGATTCTAATGCATCTATAATATCCTCACCACAAGATAATACTCCTCACAGATAAAAAGACTTTAATACATCTGCTGGAGTCAGTGGCTTAACCGCATTGCCGTTAAAGACAAATCTGGCTAGCCTGCATGGAGCCAGACTTTTCTCTTAACAGTTAGTTCGGCTGCACGCAGGCTAAATTTGGCCAGATTGGACTACAGCGAGACTGCATTTTTTGTCACAGTTCTTCTCAAGGATGTAAGGMCGTAGCTAGCATTGAAAAACTAGTGGGCCATAAAGTCACTTGACGACGAGTGATCACGAAAATAAACATTAATTCCATGATATTACTTGATATTTTTCTGGGAGRAAACTGGGCCCCCTGTGGGCACCAACGGACAGCCATGCTCAATGTTGAAAGCCAGGGTGAAACACCAACTTACAACAGCAACAATATATATATATATAAAAGGGGTTGTCGGTCGGGTATCTGAAATAGGCGATCTGAGACTAAACGCTGTGCTTTTATGTTTTCTTTCTAAACGAAATAATTATATCCTAACAGTCAAAAGGTCTTGCTTCATATTCCAGTCGATCTATAAAGGAAACTCACGTTCGCCATTGTTGTTACTCGGTCTCAGGTTTCAGATCTTCGACTGACGTTTTTTGAAATAGGTGCGTATATACCTTATCAGCGTTGAGTTCAACCAACATATGGTAAAACATAAATAAACAAGCAATTCTGATTAACCGTTAACATTATTGATATGCCCCCATTACTAGACTGCCCTTCTCCCTTTCCCACCTGTTTATATCGTTTGGTGCTGTTACATTTATTTGTTATATTTATATACATTGATTTTACACCATAACATCATCACTGAACGACAAGAACACTTGTCAGAAAACAAGGGTCGTCTGYTCCATTAACTATGGAAAGATATGCATTACATGCAGGCAGGCCTGACGGACACTGAAACAACTTTGAATATCTTTAGACTTTTTTCTTAT